TACACTCATCTCCAGGCCAGCGGTCACTCTTTCAGGGATGAAGATGTTCACATCCTGGACAGAGAGGAACGATGGTTTGAGAGAGGAGTAAAGGAGGCCATCTTTGTGAAAAAAAATCGTCCATCATTAAACAGGGGTGGAGGCCTCCGGGTTCAACTGCCCCCCTCTTACAATGCTGTGATTGCTAGTATCACTCAGCCCTCTGTGAATAGTAAACAGCCATCAGGTGCTAATGATCCATTGTTGGGCTGATGGTCCTTCTTGAGCATGTGAGCAGATGGTTTTGGTTGTCAGCAGCAAACTGGTTGATCCACTCTGAGAAGGTGCTATTTATAAGACTGAGCTGAATACGGCACCTCAGACTGAGGAAGTCTTTCGGATGAAAGACGAAACGTTTCTACACTTTTTTTTCATGTTTTGCTTTGTATTGATTTTTTGAATGTCCAGAGGACCAGATTTAACATTTTGGATTTTTCTACCTGGATTATTGAGCATGCATCAGGACATAAAATGTTTCTATCTCTTTATTTTTTCAGTAATCTTTTTTCATTTTTCATTTATCCTTTATTTATACAGGTGTCTTTTTCAGTCACGAGAACTCATTTTTAAGAGAAACCTGTTAAGGAGCAGATGGTGGGGGTTAAGGGCCTTTCTCAGGGGCCCAGAGTGGGGCGAATGAGGGTGGAGGGAGGTGTGGGTGTTTCACCTTTTCCACCCACAAATTGATGTTGACAGTACCGGGAGTTGAACCTGCGACTTTCTGATCACAGACCCATCTTTTTTAACCTCTGCGCCACCACTCCCCTATAATCTTTGATTATAATGTTGAAAGCACAACAGAGAACATAAAACGACATCAACCAAACTCTTGTTGAGACACCTGTAACCAAAAAAAGAAGTTGAGTATCTAATTTGAGTTAGTGTGGTTTTCGAAATTGACCCTTAGATTGAAAAATGTTTTAATTTAGGCCCCTTTTGTAAATGAGTTTGACACCCCTGATCTAAGATACAAACTAAAAAAAAAAATGCCGCACAGCAGCACGAACATGAGTCTGTGTGAGCAGATGAGTACGAATAAACGCAGCAACATGAAACAGATCAGCAGCAACATGAAACAGATCAGCGGCATGATGTGATTTTTCACAGTGATTATTCTGGTTAGAGATTCTCGAGTCTGATGCAGTCGAGTTTGATGCAGAAAAAATGGTCCATGCATTTGTCACGTCTAGACTGGACTATTGCAATGGTTTATTATCTGGGTGTCCAAATACTTCTTTAAAACGTCTTCAGTTGATCCAAAATGCTGCTGCCAGAGTCTTAACTGGAGTTATTGGGAGAGATCATATCTCTCCAGTTTTAGTTTCTCTCCATTGGCTCCCTGTCAAATTCAGAATAGAATTCAAAATCTTACTTCTAACCTACAAAGCTCTCAACAACCTAGCTCCATCTTATATTACAAATCTTATTGTTCCATATTTTCCCAACAGAGCACTTCACTCTCAGACTGCAGGTTTACTTGTGGTTCCTAGAGTTTACAAAAACAGAATGGGAGGCAGATCTTTCAGTTCTCAGGCTCCTCTCTTGTGGAACCAACTTCCAATCTCTGTCCGTGAGGCTGACACATTATCCAGTTTTAAAACTAGGCTTAAGACTTTCCTTTTTGCTAAATCCTATAGTTAGGGTCGGCTTGGGTTTCCTGAGCAGTTCCGCCCCATCCTATCTCACTGATCTTCTGCAGCCATATGTCCCACTGCGCTCTCTGAGGTCAGCAGACCAGATGCTTCTCTCAGTCCCAGAAACCCGTCGTAAGCTCAGAGGTGACAGGGCTTTCTCTGTTGCAGGTCCACGACTGTGGAATGAGTTGCCACCGAGTGTCCGGCAGGCTCCCACACTCTCAGTCTTTAAGTCTCGCTTGAAGACCCACTTCTATTCGCTTGCCTTTAACACGGTGTGATTTGTTTTGGTCCGGTCTGTTCTCTACTCTGTTGGCCATTTTAGTTAGCTTCTGCTGCTATTTGTATCTGTATTTCTATTTTATGTTTCCTGTCTGCTGTGCATGTTTGGTTCTTTTGTACAGCACTTTGGTTGGCCTTGTTGCTGTTTTAAGTGCTATATAAATAAATTGGTATGGTATGGTATGAGCTGTCCCTTAGTTATGCTGCTATAGGCTTAGACTGCTGGAGGACAAACTGACCACATTTTTCACTCTACTACTGTCTTTACTTACTCTGCTCAACCTGTTTTGTATTTGTAATTATTTTTTCTATCCTTAACATGTGTTTTTTGTCTTTCAGATACACCTGGACCTATACCTGGACCTACCATTCTGTGTTCGTCTGTCTCTCCTTCCTGTCCTCTCAACCAGCCGGTCAAAGCAGATGGCCGCTTGTCCTGAGCTGGTTCTGCTGGAGGTTTCTTCCTGTTAAAAGGGAGTTTTTCTTTCCACTGTTGCCACTGTGCTTGCTCAGGATGGGAGACTGCAACGAAGCCAAGATTCAACTTGTCTGCTGGATTCCTTATGTAGCACTGAGGGTGTGGTTATCTTTTTAAAAACTAATATGAACGTTATAATGGAGAATGTTAATTCTTTAGTCAATTTGCAATGAGTGAAAACCAACAGTGCCACCTGGGATTATACTCCAGGAAATATAATAAAAGGACACGTAAGTTTGTTCTACTGGAGGAAGGAGACAAGATTCAAATAAATTTTACCAAATTTATTGGGGGGGGGCGGGGTAATTTGCACAAGTGAAAAGTATTCAAAAAGTATTTTAAAATATGCGATACCAGAAAATTGTTGACTGCATTTAATTGTTTAAAACAGCTGTGCTGGGGTTAAAAAAAAAAACACTTTAAAATATCAGGTGAGACTGAAGCTTACTAGTGGGGAGGGGGGCTTTAAAGACAAGGAGACCACATCCAGTGAAGAAAGAGGGATCACCTAAACTACAAAAGGGAAAAGGAGTGTTCCACACACAAAGCGAGACACCGCCACCAGGGGTCACCACCGCCACCACACGCAGTCTCAGTCCCTGAAGTAAAATAAAAATAAAAAAAAAGAACAAACAGCCTTAATGAAACAGCCGCGTCACAGTATTTCATAAAAACAGATTTAGTGGTGCACTCAGTTCATTAAAATCAAAGCCTCAGCCAGTAGGGCAAGGGTCCGAGTTAATTTCATATTTTTTTCCTCTAGGCAAAACAGCAGTGAGCAGAATCCAGCTGAACAGCAGGAGAAGGCTCATCTGAAAACTAAAAAATGGAGCAGATCGTCACTATTAAACTCAACCATTGACAGCAGAATTTACAGAATCTCATATTGCCTACCTGCAAATTTGTATGTTACAGCACAATCTTATAATAGAGTTGCTGTATAAATTGGATCATGCAGCTGTAACAGAACAGTCTAATAAGCATTTGTTTACAGTAACAGGTAAGCGGTAGCAGGCTAGGCTAACCCTTACCTTCAAGCCATAAATTGGGCACAAAAGACAGACCGATCTTATACCCAGGAGGCACAGCAGAGAAGAGGCTAGACTGAACGTTAAGAAAAACAAACCAGTTTGTATTAGCAGCTAAAGGCAAACTACTGCGGCAAAGAAAAACCAAACATTAGCCACGCTTACCGGAGAATGGTTATCAGCAGCGGAAGCAAGCAGACGTCGTGACGCACGCAGTGTACGCCAGACAGGAGTGACGTGCTTTTATACAGAAGCCGCAATTGACCATGTTAAAGTGGCAGCACACCATTTATGCTGCTACACTTAGATAGAGAACTTTACTAATTGGCTTTTATGTATGTGAATGTTTCTGTAAAGTGCCCTGAGACAACTTTGTTGTGATTTGGTGCTATATAAATAAACTGAATTGAATTGAATTGAATTGAGTCTAACAGCCTCAGGCTAGAAGCTGTTCCTCAGTCTAGTGATTCTACACTTAATGCTCCTCAACCTCCTTCCTGAGGGGAGCGGGGCAAAAGGTGTGTGTGCTGGGTGAGTGGGGTCCTTCTTGATGCAGGTGGCCCTCTTCCTGCATCTAGAGGTGTAGATGTCTGTGATGGTGGGGAGACTGACTCCAACAGACTTCTGTGCAGCCTTCACCACTCTCTGCAAAGCTTTTCTTTCTGCAGCTGTGCAGCCTCCATGCCACACATTGATGCTAATGATTTTCCTGCCAGTTCTGTGAGCTTCATAGATACATCGTTACTTCTGACTTTGCGTTGCAACACTTTCCCTCCATTTCAGCAGAACTGCTTATTAGACTTATTGTCTAACAAGTAAGATCTTGTTATTTTATTTCATAGAATTATGTCTTAGAAAGTATTATTAGTAGCGATTAGTGACAGAAATAACTGCGTTTAGCAAACTAGCATTTTTTGTTAACGTTGCAAACCTTTAGCAGATTTAGCTTCCACTAAATTCAAATCTGGGAAATTTAAGTCTGCTAATATGTTTTTTAAGACAATAAAGAAAAGCATACAGGAGAATGGTGATTTTCACTGACCTATTATATGCAATGCACCACCTGGTGACATCACCACCCTCAAATTGTTTTTCCCCCCTTACGTCTACCTAAAGCAGTCTCCGACTCTACATGTCAGTTTACAGCCAATAACAGAAACTTTAATAGAAATTAAGCCAAACCAGACAAGAAAATAACATGAAAAACAAATTTTCACACACAGAAACATTGTAAACACTCAGAAACATTTCACACATAATTCCTACCCAGCATGCTTTGAAACGCTCACACTGCCTCTGGGATGTGACTCTCCCACACTTCACACATATTTAAAACAAACAGATTTATTACTGAGAGAATATTGATGATGACGCACTGCAACTCTGTAGTTTGTTTATAATAGTAGTTAACTAAAATACAGAACATTATAAAAGGCTTTGTTTTAGCCTTTTTAAAATTTATTTCTCTGATGGCTCACCTTTCTTCCTGCAGGTGGCCGACCTGTATTGTCCAGCCTGTGAGTGTGCGCTATGCGAGGACTGTGTGTCGGATCACATCGACCACCCCAAGATTTTGCTCAGCGAGGCACTGGAGCAGAACCGGAGCCAGTTGCAGGAGAGGCTGGAGGCCATCCAGGGCAGGTAGAGGCGGGAAGCATAAATAAAATGCCACCTTTTATTTTTTTGTTTTTCCTTTAGCTGGGGTCGCCACAGTAAGAGATTTGAATCTGAAGCCTGAGGGTCACGAGACCGCAGCAATGACCACTGAACTGCTGCAGCCTGTCATGTTTCATTTTCATTCTTTTAGGTTGGTTTGGAAAAGAGTCAGCTTTAAATTCCTCATAAAGATGGTTCTGATTAATCAGAGTCACAAAATAAAATAAAATAACCATTCTGCACGTTATATCTGTACAATGTGGTAAATCTGGAGTAACTGTAATCTGATTACAGTAGTGGCATTCATTTAACCTTTATTTATACAGGTAGTCTCATTGGGTCACAAGAACTCATTTTCAAGAGAGGCCTGTTTAGGGAGCAGATGGTGGGGGTTAAGAGCCTTGCTCAAGGGCCCAGATTGGGGCGAATGAGGGTGGAGGCAGGTGTGGGTGTTTCACCTTTTCTACACACATTTTGATGCTGACGGTACCGTGAGTTGACCCTGTGAGTTTCCGGTCACAGGCCCATCTTCTAACCTCTACGCCTCAGTGCCCTGAGTTGACTTCTGTTGAATCTCGCTGGTGGGAAGGAATAGGTCTTGGAAAAGTTGTAAGCTTGACTCAGAGTAGGTGACCACTAATCTGGCTGTTTCGAGGCATCATTGAGGTGTACTAGCGAGACTGTAAAGGCAGATGGAAATTAACAGAGTCGGCCTGACCTAAAACAACTGTTGCTATCTGAATCTGGCACCCCCAGTGTCAGTGTTGGAGGGTTGACTATCTCATTCTCCTGGATGTTATGGGAACAAGATGCTCTGCTACCCCCCTCTCCTACCTGCTCCTTTCCCCAAAGACTGCAGACCTGTGTCAGAGCTCTACTGAGCTGGCTGATAAACATTGCACCATTACTTGTCAGGACTATGGCTGGGGTGGGCTATCTGGACTGTGTTCATGGACTACATCCTTCAAACTCACCGCCTTTGCTTGCCCCCCTCATTTTGCCCCCCCCCCCTCAGTGGAGTAACCTAGGTAGATGTGAAGATGCCAGTGACTGCATCGCTCACTTGGAAGGCCTGTGCTGGGACCACCACCCTCACCAACTCCACATGCATATGTCTTTATGTCACCAGGATGTTGCTTTTTATTGTGCTGAGGTTATTTTGCAATTATGATAGATATTTTTTTTACCTACTCTTTCCTCATTCATTCAACCTTTAGACAGAGTCAGAGTCAGAGTTTCTTTATTGTCATTCGCACCTCATGTGGTACATGTGGTGGAGCGAAATTATGCACACAAGGTCCCAGTTACATCCAACGATAAAATGTATAAGAAAAACAGTAATAACATCTAAGATATGAACTAAGAAAAACATCAACTAAATATACACTAAGCACTCATAACATAAAACATTGAACATCAGTACAAACATGAACATGAGTCTGTGAGCAGATGTGCACGCATGAACACATCAACATTGAAACAGATCAGCAGCAACATGAAACCGATCAGCAGCAACATGATATGGTTTTTCACAGTGATTATTCTAGTTAGAGATTCATGAGTCTAACAGCCTCAGGGTAGAAGCTGTTCCTCAGTCTAGTGGTTCTACACTTAATGCTCCTTAACCTCCTTCCTGAGGGGAGTGGGGCAAAAAGTGTGTGTGCTGGGTGAGTGGGGTCCTTCATGATGCAGGTGGCCCTCTTCCTGCATCTGGAGGTGTAGATGTCTGTGATGGTGGGGAGACTGATTCTGACAGACTTCTGTGCAGCCTTCACCACTCTCTACAAAGCTTTTCTTTCTGCAGCTGTGCAGCCTCCATGCCATACGTTGATGCTGGAGCACAGGATGCTCTCCACTGCACACCTGTAGAAGGAGGTGAGGACTGAACTTCCCAGACCAGCTCGCCTCAGCCGTCTGAGGAAGTAAAGTCTCTGATGAGCTTTCTTGATCAGGCTGGTGGTGTTGTTGCTCCAGCTGAGGTTGTCATTCATGTATACACCCAAGTACTTGTAGCTGGAGACTACTTCCACCGCAGATCCTCTTATGTTCAGGGGGGTGTAGATGTTTTTGTTCCTTCTGAAGTCCACAATCATCTCCTTTGTCTTCTTCACATTGATGTGAAGGTTATTCTCTTTGCACCAGCTCTCCGGGTGTTCCACCTCTTGCCTGTAGCTGGACTCATCATTGTTTGTGATGCATCCCACCACCGCTGTATCATCTGCAAACTTTACAATGTGACAGCCTGGATGGGTAGCTGCACAATCATACATGAGCAGAGTAAACAGGAGGGGGTTAAACACACATCCCTGAGGAGAGCCAGTGCTGAGGGTTATGGTGGAGGAGGAGAAGTTGTGGATCCTCACTAACTGTGGTCTGTTTGTTAAAAAGTCTAGTACCCAGTTGCAAATGGAGGGGCTTAGTCCTAGTGTGGACAGTTTGTCCATCAGGGTTTGGGAGATCATGGTGTTGAAGGCGGATGTGAAGTCCACAAAGAGCATACGGACGTAAGAGTTTTTCTGCTCCAGGTGGTTGAGCGCAGTGTGGACCACAGAGGAGATTGCATCCTCTGTTGATCGGTTCTCACGGTATGCATACTGATGAGGGTCCTCGTTGATGTTGATGGTTGTTTTGATGTGAGTCATGACCAGTTTTTCGAAGCATTTAGCGACCATCGGGGTGAGGGCCACTGGCCGATAGTCATTCAGACCAGTCACTGTAGAGCTTTTTGGGACTGGGATGATGGTGGCAGTCTTCAGGCAGGTGGGAACTGTCTCCAGGGTAAGTGAGGTGTTAAAGATGTCTGCCTGCACCTCACAGAGCTGATCAGCACATTCCTTCAACACTTTTCCGGGGATGTTGTCTGGGCCAGTTGCCTTGTGTGGATTAATCCTCCTGAAGGTACTCCTTACTTCTGCTGAGGTCACGCTGAGATGCTTTTCATCCGGTGGTGAGGTGAGTCTGGTGCTGGGTGGTCTGTTCGGGTCTTCAAAGCGTGCATACAACTTGTTGAGGGCATCAGGCAGAGATGGGTCTTTGGGGCATTGTTCGCTCCTTCCTTTATAATCTGTTATGCACTTAATGCCCCTCCACATGGTCCGAGGGTCTTGCGAGATGAATTAACCCTCGATCCTCTTTGCATATGTGGCCTTGGCCCTCTTAATACCAGCAACCAGCTCTTTTCTTGTCCTACTCAGCTCCTCTGAGTTTCCAGACCTGAAGGCAGTGTTCCTGGCTTCCAGCAGGGTACGCACCTCTGCATGGTTTTCTGTTTGGGTAGCTTTTAACATTTCTGATAGTGGAGACGGTGTCAGTACATGTACTAATGTAACCCAGTACTGAGGATGTGTATTGGTCAAGATCAAGCGAACCTCCATTTTCAGCAGCTTCTCTGAAAACCTGCCAGTCTGTTCGGTCAAAACAATCTCTCAGTATGGGGCCACTGTCCTGGATCCAGCATTTAACTTTCTTTTGTACCGGTCTGGAGCGTCTCAGCGGGGGCATGTAAGCAGGAGCCAGGAAGATTGAGATGTGGTCTGACAGTCCCAGGTGGGGGCGGGGTTCGGCTTTGTATGTACCTTTTACGTTCGTGTAAACACGGTCCAGCGTCTTGTCTCCACGTGTCCGAATTATCACATGTTGATTAAAGCTCGGGGGACAGTCCTTTAGATTCACGTGGTTAAAGTCTCCGGCTACCACGTAAAGAGCCTCGGGGTGTTTGCTCTACAGCGAGCTGATGATATCATGTAGCTCCTGCAGTGACTCATTAGCATTAACGTCCGGAGGAATGTAAACAACAAAGATGAAAGTCACCGTGAACTCACGGGGTAGATAATGTGGCCGACATTTCACTGTTATTTGCTCCAAAGCCTTCGAGCATGAGCTATTTACAACAGTACAGTTCGTGTACCAACTTTTACTCACGTAAATGCACACTCCGCCTCCCCGTGATTTCCCCGTTAGCTCGCTGCAGCGGTCCGCTCGAAAAAAAAGTCTGTCATCCATCTGGAAGACTGTATCCGGCGTTTCACTTGTAATCCACGTTTCCTTGAGGCAAAGCCCCGCACACTTCTTCATCTCTTCTGAGGCGCCCGCTCTCAGACGAAGTAAATCCATCTTGTTGTCCAACGAGCGGACATTCTACAGAAAGAGAGACGGCATGGAGAGTTTACCGGCTTTAGCGTTAGCTCGTAGCCTCACCATAACCCCCGCCCGGCATCCTCTCCTCTTAAGCCGGGAGCAGCGCTTCCTCTTCTGCCCACTGGAACGCCTCTGCTGCAGCTTCCACGTAGATGACTTTAAGATCTGCATTCTGCCGAGCGTAGTTTTGAGTTTGTTGCTGATTTCTGCTATATTTCGTGGCAAATCCGCTCCTATTCTCATCAGTTCGGTTCGGCTATAGTTCACACGCATAAATCGCGCGGAGTCATGCACAGAGTCAATATCAAAACTTCTAAAAACTGGGATGGTACCGGGAGCCTGTGAAGCTGCAACTGCTCTGAGCACAGCCATCTTGGCATTCAGGCAGGTAAATCCCATTGAGCCTTGACTCATTTACAAGAGAGACCTGTTTTCAACAAAGAATGATAACAATGGACAACAGCGACAACAATAAACAGTTATAAAAAGTCATACAATTTTTATTTTTAATTTTTTTAACAAATAGGATGGCTTAAAAAAAGTAACACAAAACAGCTAGATTCTAAAGCAAATGTAGAAAACTAAGAACAGGAACATGTCTGCATTGGTTCCTGCCAGGAGTCCAACAGATTCTTAAAGCCACTTAGAGAGGTCAAGGTTGATAGCTTCAAATCTATCAAATCTCATGCTTTTTTCCCTTTTCCTTATCTAAACTTAAAGGGCAGCACTTCCCACGAGGCTGCGGCCTCAGGCATCCCCGTCTACCCATGTTTGTTTTCTCCTTGTATGGCTGTCTTGATATGTAATTGTGATGTGCCCCTGTGCAGTTACAACAAAGCTGATTCTGATAAACTGAAATCGAATTGATTTCAATAGAACAGAGCAAGATCAACACTGACATCTGGTGGGTAATTAGGGAACTGCATGGATAAAATTATCAGAATTCATTAATTTTTTCAGATTTACAGTTAACAAAAAATAAATTTATGAAAATAATCCGTGTTTGACATTCAAATTTAAAGAGACGAGCTTTAACCTCAGACAACCTCTCTCTCCCCCTCCTCTTCCAGGCTCCCCCAGATCTGTGATGCTCTGTCCTTTGTGAAGGAGATCGTCCAGCAGCTGAGTAGTCAGAGAACATCCATCGAGGAGGACATCCAGTCCAGCTTCGAGGACCTACACAAGCAGCTCGACGTTCGAAAGAGCGTCCTGCTGATGGAGCTGGAGGTCACGTATGGACTCAAACAGAAGGTGCAAAAACACACAAAAACAAAGAGACTGTGCCTCATTAAACAGTTATTCCTGCACGCTAGGGCTTTAACAGACTACTCGAGTAATCTACACATCGATTCCTAGGACACCTATCGAGGTTTTTAATTTCACGTCGCGTATTCGTGGTGACGTCATTACGCCGCCGTTACGTCATTGTGTCACGTGTCACGTGATACGCACCGGCGTGGGTTACAAAATGGATTCCTTCAAGCAGACGGATGGAGTAGAGCAGGCCCAGTCTTGACAAACAGGTAGAAATGCATCAATAGTCTGGAAATATTTCACTAAAGATGAATCTTCTAATTCACCTACCATAAGGAAACAGAAAATGAAACAACTTCCTGTTTGGAGCTCGTTGTGAACCGGTGATACACCACATTTTGTGACAGTAGGGGGCGCTGTTGCATGCACTGTTGCAGGTCACAGAGTATGGTGTAACACCGGGTCCAATCTACCGAACCAGCTTCCTTCTGGCCTCGTTTCACAAACAAAAAGCAAAATATATTAATCTCTAAACCTTTTTAAAAAAAAAAAAATCTATAAGCATCTCTAAAACTAAACTTAATGCGCACCACAGCTGGCGGTGGTGCGGGGTGGGACCCCCACTGTGTTTAGTTTAGTTTTTGATGTGCTGCATGTTTCTTCACATTTGCATCTTAATAACTAATAGTTTAGTTTTTCCTGTGACTTATTAGCAGTATGATAAATGGTAGGAGCATAATGCTCCCAAAGTTTTGTTGGTCTTTTTTTGTAAATAATGACCTTTTTTTGCAGATTTAATTTATTTTTGTATCTTTAGATCCTATGATGTCATCACGTACTCGAGTTCTACTCAGAGTTTTATTATGTTAATGTCGAGTTTAAAAATTATGTAGTCGTTCAACCCATACTGCACGCTGGGTTTTTTTTTTAACGCAATATAAGAGTCCAAGATTTCTGAGCTTCGTCAGTTTTGATGAATGTCCATTGTCAGAGGATTTTGGTCAGAGGTTAGATATTACTAGTGTTCTATTCCTAAAAAATAAAAAAAATAAAAAACACCAAGTTGTCTCTCCAAACACTGTTATCCTCAAGATATGCCCATGGATTGTATCTGTGAAGGCCAAGAGGGCAATGTGTGACAAGAACCAGGTTTGGATCAGCAAAAAAAAAAAAAAACACCAAGACCAAGAGCGGTTTAACAGTTTTATTGTGAATGGGAAATCTCTGGTTGAGGTCTGGGTCCTGAGCCGGGTCCAATCTGTCAAGACAGAAGAGTTAGTGACTTGGCATGGATCAGAAGGTGCAGGTGGATATTGGAGTTTTCACAAACCTTCTGCCTTGATGTAGAGGCTGAAACTTTAGTTGCGCTGAAGCCGGTGAGGTCACTCCTGTATGGTGAGCTTCTGCAGCAGAGCAGGTTAAAGGACTTGAGGTCAAGAACAGGGAGATCCAGATTTGTGGTCCATGCATTGTTGCAGAGGTCAAGCACGTTGAAGCAGAGAGTTGAATACAGAGCTGAATCTTTATCCAAAAACATAGTAAAAGGGGAAGGCACAGAGTCAGAAACCATGGGTAGAAAGGCAGACAAATCCAAGAAGGTTCAGGCAAGGTGAGGAGTCAAAAAACAGGCAAGGGGTCGTGGACAAGGCAATAGAAAAGATCAGGTATGCTGGATTTCTACTTCTGTAAAAGGTTAGAGAATCTTCTTCTTCTTCTTGTTTTATTGGCGGTTGGCAAACAACTGAAGGAAGCATTACCGCCACCAACTGGTAAGGAGTGTGGACCGCATGACAAAAAAATAAATAAAATAAAATAAAATAATTATAATAAAAATAATAATAAACCCTCTCTTTCCTTTTATATCTTATCATACAACCTACACCGTTTAAAAAAATAAAATATAGCTTGATAGTCTCTGTTTCCTGAATCTTTCTGCAATAAATCAATAATGTCTAATTTCTAAAAAAGTTAAATCTGGTCCTCTGGACATTCAAAAAAAACAAAAACAAAACAAAGCAAAACAACAAAAAATGTAGAAACGTTTCGTCTCTCATCCAAGAGACTTCCTCAGTCTGAGGTGCTGTTTTCAGCTCAGTCTCTTAAATAGCACCATCTCAGAGTGGATCAACCAGTTTGCTGCTGACAACCAAAACCAGCTGATCACATGCTCAAGAAGGACCATCAGCCTAACAATGGCTCATTACCACACTGATGGCTGTTTACTATTCACACAGGGCTGAGTGATACTAGCAATCACATCATTGTAAGAGGGGGACAATTGAACCCAGAGGCCTCCACCCCTGTTTAATGATGGACGATTTCTTTTCACAAAGATGGCCTCCTTTACTCCTCTCTCAAACCATCGTTCCTCTCTATCCAGGATGTGCACATCTTCATCCCTGAAAGAGTGACCGCTGGCCTGGAGATGAGTGTA